GTGCGGCACGGTACCTGTGTGTACGACGAGCGGCATAGTTGACGAGGTGCGTCCCGTGCCGCCTGATGTCTACGCATCGTCTTCGTCGCACGGAGACAGCACAGCGGCTCGCCACCCCCGTGTCTACCCCTACCTCCGGCAGCAATACCACCCTTCCTAGGTCCTATGGTAGCCACACGGTGAGTTTACTCCAGCACGTACATTATCTGTCAATGCTCGCGCCGCGCATTCGCCGCCACCGCCGTCGTCGTCATCGTCGTCGTCGTCGTCGTCGTCGACGACGACGGTGTCTTGATGTGTGTAACCTCTTCTTCCCTCACATGTCGCGAGTGCATAGATGCGGAGCATCGTTGACGACGACTAACCGTACGTCATAGTGACGTACGACGTGCGTTTTTTCCGTATCTACGAATGCACGGAGCGGCTCTCGCGCCCGCTCTCGTGCCCCATGTCGATTGGCATACCGAGCATCGGCTCCCGGGGGAAACGTAACCTCTTTCCATATATGTCCACGCGAATAAGCGTTCGTATTAGGCAGCGTTAGGCGCATATCGAGATTCACGGCGCGACGCGACGCGACCTCTTTCCTTGTACGTCCGTGGATATGTGGAGCGGCGTTACTGCCTGCTGATACGCATTCGCACGTGACGCGATCTCTTTTTTTTCCTCTCCCCGGTATTTATAGACGCGCAATGTGCGCAACGTCGACGTATGTTGATAAGATAAGTCGCGAGATGTGCGAAAGTAACGCGAGGCTGATTAGACTTATTGAGGATTTCGGTCAACGTGGAACATCGTGTATTCACGGACAGACAGACAGACGGAGCGGCGTTTAACGGGCACGTTGATTATGCGCTTCGAGATGTAATCTCTCCCCTCCTCTTCCGCATCCGCATTTGTCAATGTTGATTAGACATATTGAGATGTCAAGATATGTAACCTCTTTGCCATATTCATGATTATGTAGAATAAGACACGCGATTAGAACAATGCTGATTGGACATATTGAGCCTCGAGCGGTGTAACCTTCTCTCTTACGCATCCATAAATGCACAGAATGGCATTCGCACTCTTGGCAATTCCGCATATGCATTGAACATTCAGTTGACGCAACCTTTCATACTCGAATTATGTCTCACTTTGGACTTCGTATTATAGAGTTTATTCAAGAGCGTGAGGGAAGAAGCTATTAATATCTGGCGTGTGAAAATATTTTATAAATTTGTTATACATTTTGTATTTTTTTTTTTTTTTAATATTACGATGCATCAACGATTAGATATGGGATATATAGAGACATTTTTTCAGTAGTTTTTAAACTTGCTCCGTTATAAAACAGAAGCAAATGCTGCGATGTAAAATATAATGCATGTTGTTTTACTTATGAAGAGATATGAAAATGTTCACAGTATAATGATAACATTACGTGATTTATTTATCAGAGCGTGAAATTGAACAAACTATTTCTATGAGAGAAAGTTTTATCTTTTTTACTCTGTTAAAGCTGTCTTTTGTAGCAATCTTATGCGCTGACGTGTCTCAAGACTTAACGCAATTCCTGAAAGTACAAATTGTATACAAAGAATGTTCGCTCAGTGCAAGTGCAAGAATATGTCATTGGATTTGAAAAATATTTAATATCGTGATTCGTAAACATGTTTTTTATTGAGAAACTTGAATGTATGTAATCCAACATATCAAAAGAATATATTAAATCGCTGATGCATCGAGTTCATTCTTTTGGGGTTTCACTCTTTTGTATGGGACATCGTAGTAAGAATCAATCCATTCTTAAAGGGTTTGGATCTTTCTCTATCAAACTTACGCGTTTATAAATCTTTAATTTTCCACTTAAATTATTTAAAATACAGTCTGAAAATAAAACTCGCCCCGGAGAGAAGAACTCGAGAAATTAAAAATTTATAAGTTTCCAAAATATTACAATTCACAGATTTATCTGTGCACGACTGACATAATTTTTTTTTCATTGCCTGTTCTAGTTACATTATAACAAATATATAAATTTCATCACGAATGGAGAACACTTTTGCTGGCAAATCTAAAAATTTGACCAGATACAGATCTGAAAATAATTTTGTTGGCCCATCAAAATTATTTTGTAGAACACTTAAATATGATGATAATACTGTTATGATGTAAAAATGTTTGATCTTCTAACAATTAATTTGAACATCGTATATAATAATTTTGAAAGCCCAACAAAATCAGTTTTCAGATCTGTATCTAGCCAAATTTTTAGATTTGCCGGCAAAAGTGTTCTTTCCGTATAATTATCAAATAATTGCATTTTTAGAATAGAAACTATCGTCATTAGGGATAAGACGTTACACGTGTTTTATATGCAATGCATATGATAAGTGCACATCGGTATGCGTTGACAGATCAAAATTGTATGATACATTTCGATATGAGCATGTCATATTACCAGTTGTTCTCGTGTTCGCCTACGCATCTTTTATCTCTTTTTTTCGCGAACGCATAGGAGAGATTGCTCGACGATTAATCATTCCCCTTCCGACACCCCGGCCTCTTTAATACCGCGCGTCCCACTGCACCATTTGCCCTTTTACTTTAATTCACGGTGACGAGGGTGCGCTCCCTCTTACCTCCATTGTTTTTGACTTCGTATAATATATTTCGCACGCCAGCGTAAACTTTATAATTAAATGTATAATTATTGGAAAGTAATATTATCCGTATATAGGCATAATTTACGTGTCCATATAAATATCAAAACTTCCGTTTATCAAAGCTTCGAAAAAAGTCCATTGTTAAAAATTCTCCTTAAACTTTTCCCAAGCCTCCTCTTTCCTCTCGTTGAATACAATTTTATTAGGTGTATATATCATGGCTTTTTTAATACCACGAATTGCTCTATCTGAAAGAAAAAAGGAGGGTAATGCGATATGTATATATTAGAGGAGGAAGGAGACTTTTATTTTTGCACGAGTGTGGCATTAACTATTTCCAGCACGAGCCGTGCATTTTAATCCCGGGCTACGCCGTCCTGGCAATTAGGAAGAATTACTCGGGAACTGGCGTTCCACTGTAAATACCTGTAACATCGCGTTGTTTTAATACAACGGGGGTTGCGAGCCCGCGACGTGGAGCGGCGGAAATAAAACACGCGGCATTAATTTATTGAAACGTGATGTGCTATTGATTCCGTTATTGTCGCCAGTCATTGCGCGCGATGCGCGATTGTTCCGGGTAGATGAATGCGCGAGGCGATTATGTTTTTAGCGCGAGAGAAAAACATAAGCGAGATGAATACCCGCGTTTCGTGAGTTTTGAAATCTCGCGTGTGTGCTCTCGCTGGGCGAGCACGATAAAAATACGGGAACGATTTTGGATCACTGATTTGTGCGATTTAAAGGGAAACTATTTTTTTTTCTTCTTTTTTTTCGCTTTTTTTTTTAAAAGATAAATTAGTACGTCATAAAATAAATGGATATATAGAATGTGAATTCGAATTGTCGCGGTTTCTGTGTAAAATTACAAAGCGAAGGCGATTTCTTTAGCTCCCGGAGAATTCTAGTTAGGCGATTAACTGGCTTCCTTCTTCAATCAAATCAGCAATTCAATTAAGCCCTATCGAAATTTAAAAGATTCGCGATTCGAGGCATTGCATTATTACGCTATCAATTGTAATGAACTGATAAATTAATCATACGACAATCATATTTATGACTAAAACATGAGAATATATTAAAACGGAACTACCCGCCCCCTCGTGCTGGATTCGTCCGGCGAATAGCGTCGTTCCAAGACAATATAATATTCGGTCTGAGAGTAATTATTGGCATCGGATATTAAGCGGTATTAAGCGGTAGAATGGCGGTGGTAAAGCCGCGCATTGTTTCTGTATCCCTAATTACGTCATACGACCTGCATCGGGGTCGTGTACCGCAGTCGAGACGCTTTCCGGAATACAGGAATGCCGGATTCTCAGGTGTCTTGCATCACGATTACACAACGCGACAATCGCCATGTGTATTAGACCTGCCTATTATTCGCCATTTTTTTTTATATTTTGCCCGCGTTACTCTTTTTCCTCTGAACTACTTCGAGGGGGGCCTATGTTCCGCTTTAAATACAAAATGTGCCATAAGACGCGGCTAGAAAAAAGGAAACTGGTCCAATTTCTCGGATCTCGTGAGATCTCGTGAGGAGAGACCTCGTAAAATGAAACGGTAGGCCTCGTAAAAGAAAAGAGAAGCCTCGTAAAGAGAGTGGGACACTTCTACGAGATGTGTCCGACCACCGATGAAAAATGAGCGCGGCATTTAATTGTTGCGAAACTTGGAGGAAACTTTTAATAGAAAAAGAAGTTTTAATACGACAGAGACAATCGGACGGGAACAGAAGTAATTCAATTCGCGATTCGGTTCACGGTGTCACGTTTGTACATGTATATGTGGAATATATATAAGTTGCACAGTTAAAATAGCTTATGCAATTGAGCGAAAACAACGGCAAGGATTATGCAGATCGTCGTGAATTATTACTTGAATTTATCGGAAACTGCGAAGGACTAAATATAATTGCTATCGATATTTTATTACGACGGCGGTTGTTTTTACGGGAGCGCGTGATCTCGCATTTACAGGTATTACTGACTGATAATTCGAAGAAAATTGATGGATAAATCCGGCGTGTAAACTCCCGGCCGCTTTATCTTATCGTAACGCTTTAATCTCATCGTATACGATAATAGCATTATACCGCGATGATATGCAGTTGCAACAATAACTTGCCAGCTTTCCCAGAATTAGAATTCATGGGGGTAATATTGTACGCAACGCTATGTGTTTGTGACGTTTAAAGTTTAAGTTTAAAGTTAAACCGTGTAGAAGTTAAGTGAGTTCTAATTAATTCTATCTTTTCCCGGTCCTTTCCTCCGGGAGGAGAAAGAAAATAGAGGGAGAGAGAGAGAGAGAGAGAGAGAGAGAGAGAGAAGAACGAAGTAAATCGAGTA